TGGGCGGCGGCGCGGGCGGAGAACCCGCAAGAACGAGTCCGGGCAGCAGCGGGAACCACAAACACAGATCTTTAATGCGCTCAGACCGCGGGAGAACAGCACAGGCACGTACAGGCACCCCGAGCGCGCACCCGCCGCCCCCCGCGCCCCACACGGAGGTTACAAAAACAACACGTGAAACCGCGGAATTAATTGTAAAAACGGACAGGGGAGGGGGGCATGCACTAGGGACTGACACCGGGAGAGCACCGCGGCGGAACCGGAGCCGCGTTCGGGGGGACGGGGAAAGGAGAGAATGGAGGAAGGGGGGAGCGCCGGCCGGAGCCCGCCCCTGGGAACGGCAATTAACGGCGGTAATTAACCGCAGCGAGTTAACGAGCGGCCGCCAGGCTCCTGCCCGCCTCGGCGGGGCTCAAGGGCTTCACTCGCACCGTTCCCACAAAATGCCGAGCCTGGGGGTCGCGGCTGGGGCTGGCACAGCCGGGCGCCTCCTGCCCTCGTGGGAAACAAACGCAGCTACAAATCAGCGAGTGACAAGGGGCAGAGCCCCCACGGGCCTGGGGACACGGCCGGTGACCCCGCAGGGCACACACCGGCACGGGCTCCAGCCCGGTCCACCCCTGCCTGCCCCTCGGCACATTCTGCCTGACTGGCCTCGGGAAACACACCAACGCTTTCGGCTGCAGCCCACAAAGCCCCGCGGGGAAGCTCTGACTGCAGTGCACAGTAAATAGGCAGATGAGCTGTGGCTGTGCTTCTCTAGAGAAGAAACCAGCCAGGTTTCCCACTGCTTTGCTCACACCAACTATCTGAACTGCAAAGGTAGTAAAAACCAGACTTGAGCCCAGCTTAGAAATGTGTTTCAGCTCATTTGGTCATCCTCAATGACAAACAGCTCTCAGTATAGATCAAGGCCAAATTTTGTCTGTTTTGCCTTAGCTGGGCAAGTGAGGCAACTCTCAAGTGCTGGAGACAAAAATGAAGTGGCTAAGTACTTAAAAGGAAGACAAAAAAAAAATCTGAATTTTCTTTTAACATATATAAACAGAAGGAAAAAATATAATTGAGAACCAGTGTTACTGGTGTGCTCACAGAGGGTCGGGGGGGGTCTTTTGGAAAGGGCTGAAGCGTTACAAAGGTCAGGGCAGCTCAGGGCTCCAGGCACAGCATGGCCCCGACCGCTGCGCTCACTGCGTCAGGACAAACACGGGGTGTCCACACTGGCCTGGACTGAAAACCATCCATTCAGATTTATTTATTCCTACTAAAACAAAATCCTGTTAAACAGTACGTAACTCTGTGTCTCTACAAACTCACAGCTATCTGCCAAACAATAAAAATCCCAAACTACAAAAGATGAGTTGTATTCAGTAAATATAAATGGGAAATTTAGGCTTTGTGTAGAATGTTTATCAGACTATTTACAGTGCAACACAGATCGTTTGAGTTCAGATCTCTCCAGCTTCTCTCTCTTCTGACCTCTTGGAACGAGATTTGCCATTTGTGCTCTCGTGCCGCCTCTCAGAAGAGCTCTTCTCTTTCCTCTCTCTGTCTCGGGACTTTTCTCTTGAAGATCGATCTCTAGAAGATCTGAAGTACAAAGTAAACCATCGCTATCAGCTTCACAACTAAAAATTGTCAAATACCCACCAAGCAACATCTTTCCCTAGCAGGGCTGTGGGATACAAGTTCAGGAACGTGCCTGGGTACTGTGGCACGGGGAGTGGGTCCCCCATGACAGCAGCTCTGGGCCCTCTGCGAGGTTTCTTTCTCTGCAGCGCTGAGAGCACAGCACAGCCTTTGTTGCTCCTTCCTGAGTGATCCTTTCAAGCTGTTGCCACAGGGGCTCTCTCAGTTCTTCCCTGTGCCCCTTACTGTTTTTCTGGGCCATCCTGAAGTGCCTACAGTTTCTTCCTCATCTCTGACTCAGCTCGGTTCATGGCTTCCAGAGCACTTTTTTATTAAGCCCTAAGCTACTAGCTTTCTGCTCAACTGCTTTAAATACCAACTGGATTCTTTGCTGGCTCAGCCCTGAGTTTCTCACTTTGCATCCTTGACAAATGCTTTGGCAGCATCCTGGGTTCAAAGTCAGGAGGATAGAGATTTATATTCACAGCCCACAGCATGGGCGCATCTTTTCACAGCCACAGATTTTCAGCAGCGCTTCCCTGTGTCAGCCCACGCAGAATTAAACAGGAGCCTTCACATTAGGTCTAATCTGAAAGGCTGTTTCTTGTGTGATTCCTGCCAGCTTAGGGAATAGCAGGATTCAAAAGGAGCTGATCCTGAGTGAGCTCAGCAGAGGCTCCTACATTTTACTCCAAGGCTCAGTACACAGGTTTTTTTACAGTCACAACAGAAGGTACCTTAGAGGTTCCACTTTCATTCTTGTCGATTCTAAGGTTTGAAAATACTGCAAAATTGATACATCAAAACCCAACAGCCACTTCATTTTCATTAAATTGTGTCATTTAACATCAGTCTGTTTGATGACATTAACTCTCCACCTTTTCCACAACAATGACTTCTGCCTGCAGACTTCCTACCCTGAGATCTCCAGATCCTGTGACACTCTCCATTTCTTTCAGCAAGAGACCTCAGACCAACAGAACCTGAGGGCAGATTTTTTTTAACTCTCAGTGTGAAAACAGAAGCTACCCTCTTTCAGGAAGCAGGGTTTTTCTGTTTGTTCTCTTGTTTTTGTTATGTTTTCTTAAACTGGGCCTGTTCCCAGCTTTCAGCAATTTTGTGCAGGTGTGTCAGCTGGCCAATCCCCCTGCAATCTCAATGGGCTGGTTTGGATACGTTCAAGGGTTCCGAAGTAATCCCTTACCTGCTCTTTAGTAATAGTTATTACAGGATCTTCCTCACTTCCTAATTGTCCAAACTTCTTTTCTTTATTTTTCATGTTCAAGACAGATTTAAAAAAGCACTTTAGTATCTCAGCCATTGGAGAATCAACAGTATTTACACCCCCCCTCAATTATTAACAGACTTATTTTTCAGACCATTATTTCCCTCCCCTTCACCAGGAACCTTTAAAAGAAAAGCTGTTCTTACCCCTTAGCTAAACTGACACAAGACACACAACAATAGGTTTGTTTCTAGAATTGCACTTAAGTGTTGGTGCCTAATCAGTGCTAGAGCACTCCCCTATTAACCAGGAGTCTTTCAAAAAATCCAGATCTAACCTCAGCAAGCACCTGGAGGCAGACTGGCTCCTGGGCTTAGAAGGGCTGTAAGGGCCCACAATGATTCCACTCATTTTTTCTAATACTCTACACGCACTTGCCTCATCCTTCCTCCAATACAGAAGCTGTTTTGCTGAATTTCAGAAAACCTTTAAGCCTTTCTTTGGACTATAGTGCTTCTCCTCTGAGACAGAAGAATGGTATACTACTGTAATTTTTTTTCCAGGAAGAAAAAGCACTGATTCTAAGAATCTAAAGATTCTAAAGAATTCTTTCTCAAGCAGCCTTCTAACAGAAGACTCCCCCCAAATCTCAAATCATAGACTCCTATCCAGTGTCAGCACTGAGAGAAGGAATCTGGGAAGCAGAAAGCAACTGCAGAAGTGTAACATCCAAACTGTCTGTAAGGCACTTGGCCCAGGGAAGCTCAGTTAGCTCAGGGAGTCTTCATGCTGCTTCCAATCCAAGGAGCCTCTTGAAGCTCAGCACTGCAGATCAGGGAACCTGTTCTATCTCCTAGACTCTCCTCTCAGCTGGGATCTTGCTGTACAGCTGCTGCCCTCACGTGAGGCCCCTGGGAAATCCTGCTTTGGCCCAAGAGCTGGCACAGGCCACCACAGCTGCTCTGGAGAACCCTGCCATGCTCCTGCTTGCTTTACGGGCTAGAGCGGTCACTATGAGCCAAGGACTCCCCTTTCCAGATGCACTCCTGTGGGGAATACATACTTGTGTTTTGAGCTCCTGTCTCTGGAGCCGCGGCGGTGCCCCCTGCTGTGGCTGCGGGAACGGCTCCGGTGGCGCCTGTGTCGGTCCCGGGAGCGGGAGCGAGACTTCCGCCGTTCCCGGGAAGCTGATCTGGAGCGTCTCCGCCTCCGCTCCCGAGACCGTGATCTGGAGGGAACACAGAGTGTCTCAGTGCCTCAGATCTGCACCCCTGAGCTACCTCAGACTCTCCTGAGTAACAAATACCCAGAGCATCAACACAGCCCACCCCCTGCCCCCCATATCCCTGCTGACACCCAGGGCTGAGCACCCACACCCACACAGTGGGCAGCTGAGTTCTCCTGGGCCTTGTGCTGCCAACAAAATGCCAGTGGCTTACTCAGTTTGCTGGAAAACTTATAGAAAAAGCTCCCACCATTACTGTAAGCATGTAGTAAGGGCCAGAGCAGAGCTTACAACCCTGCATCGCTCACAAGTGAGGCCCATGTAATTAGAAGAGAGGCCAAAGGAAGTGGCCTGTGAAATTACTGTAAGAGAACCTTCCTTGTGAAGATCCTTGTACTTCAGAAGCATTTTTATTTCACCCTGCTCTAATAATAAGAAAGATGCCAAAGGAAAGGAGCAGACAGGGAGATCTCCATGTCCCTTATCACAGAGAATGTTGCCATAGCATTAAGGCAAGCTCTTCCCAGAGACATGCGGGTTTCAATCTCAAATCTCTGTATTTCCACATCTGAGGTATTATATATATAACAGATACTTCAGACATTACAATCATGGAAGTATATCATGCATTTACTGAAAGAGGCCTCGAGGACATTCACAGCTCACACTCTGGAGCCCATCCTGGCCAGGCTACTCAGCGCCTGCTCTAAGCCCAATGAGCCACACCAAGCTGAGCAGCACCACTGACGTGCCCATACTGCACTTCCCATCTCTTTCAGGGTGCAAACCAGACACTGAGGCATTGAACTCCATTGTAAGACACAGGAAAAACCTCAGTAGCTAGGGAGAAACACAAACAGGCATTTGGGAGAACTGCAGAACTGGGCACTCACCTTCGGCGATCTCTATTTCTTGATCCAGACCTAAAAAGAAGAGGGGAGTTAAGTGAGAGAAGTTATGATACAGCCAGTGGGTTTTCAGTAGGAAAATTCATGCACTCTGGCAGCTCTTCACAGGAATAATCAATACCTCAAGTGATATATTAGGGTTTTTTTAAAAAAAAAGTTTGCAAATAATTCTTTTAGCTTCAATTTTAGGAGCAAGAATAATTTGTTAAAAACTGGAAAACATACATTTCTTCACAATGAGCTTGCTGTCACTACAGAAAAGGTCTATAAACCAGGCACTATTAATAAAGCACCCAAATGAACCTTTCCAACTAATTTTCTGTGCATACTTGTTACATACTCTTTACTCCCTGTAGTCTAACAGCAGCTGGATCAACTCTTAACATTTTCAAGATGTGCCACTCTCCAGTCAGAAAGACATCTGCCAGTCTTCTCATTTTGTTTCCTTTAAGGCAGTTGCATGTTAAAGAGGCTTTAATAAAAAAAAAAAGCAAGCCTTTTCTCACTCTTTGTATTTGTTTACCAAACATTAGAAGGAAATTTGCATCAATATTTTTTTTTTATTTTATATATTTTAATATTGAAAAATATTTTCAATATTTTGGGGAAAATAACCATGAAAAAAGAGAGGACACAGCCACAAGAGAAGAACTATTACTGACAAGTGACACAGATAAACTGAAAATCCTTAGAAAGCACTTGAGAAGAATAATCCAGGCATTGCTATCCTTTCTTACATTCCACGAGCTCCAGAGCTCCTGTGTGGCACTCTGAGCTTACTGCTGTCAGCATTAGCTCTTGACACTTTGTAAATAACAACTGCAGAATTCTTTCAACTTCAGCAGCACCATTACTCAGCACCACTTAAAATACTTCTGCACATGGAAGCTACAACCTCCCTCCTCCTCCTCGGCCACATTTCAGAGCCAGCTGAACATCACACGCTGTCTGAACAGTCTTGTTTTGCTTTAATTAAGAAGTGGCTCCTCTCCCTGTTTAATGACTTAGAGACTCTCTCCTGTAACTGCTCCCCACTGCACACAGACTCCCACAGAGGTTCCATTTAAACACCAAAGAGCTGTTCTGGCACCTTGACATGAAAGCTACACACAGACAAGAATTTAAGAAGCAATAGAGAAATAAAACAAGATTAAGAAAATGTGTGTGCACTGGCATGTCTTTGCAGTGAAGTGGGATTATTCAGAATGGCAGAAAGTAAAAAAGCCCCCAGATTTAGAAAGGAATTCAGGTAAGGACTGTAAACAAAGCAGAGCAGAACTTGGAGTCTGCAAATGAAACATGCACTGTGGCAACACATGTCCAGGTGAGGGAAAAGCTGATAAACCAGGAGAGCAAGGCACTAAGCACACACCTCCATCCCCACGTAACAGAACCTGACGGAGCAGCAGCACCTCCTGTAGATACCTGGCAGGCAGCTGGATATTTTTTGTGGTTGTAATTACTCCAAGTTCTTAATGTTCTTTTTCCTCTTGATCACTTTATTCTGAACCACCAGTGCACACATCCACAAAAACCCTTCCACATCCCCTGAAAAGTCTGGCTGCCCTTCCTGCCTATCATCCGAGCAGGAGTATGCACAAAAACCATCTGATAATCACTCCCTAGAACCAAACTTCAGAACTCAGGAAGTATCCAACAAAACAAGCTTTGTCCTTACTAGGCTGAATCATTGTACAGCAGGAGACAAAAGAAGACTGCTGTCCATAGGAGCAAGAGGCAGAGCAAGTCTATTTTATTTATTCTTTCCTCTTTTTTTTTGTCCCTGTATCACAGAGACTTTCTGCTGAGTTTCATAACCTGTCTTTTGTCCAGTTTAACACACAGGAAATCCATTAGGGACCTTCACCAGACTTGTTTGCTGGTGTGTTCTGGAAGCAAACACCAAGGTCTGCACTTCCCAGCATGCCACTTCCCCACAGAATTCCAGTCTTCAGAGATGATTGAGTACCCCATAGCCACCAGCAACATCACACAAGATTTGTCTTTATTACCACTAGGGTGGCAATCCAGTTCACTCATTCCTAGGTGGAATCACAGTTTATTGGCAAATTCATTACAGCTATGAGAGGCAGGGTTTCACAAGGGAATCCACAGGTTTCCAGGGATGTCACAGTGCCTGTCACTCACCAAAGACTCCCAAAGTCAAGCCATACTCTTACTAAAGTAACACCATTAAAGTGCTATATAGGAGAATCTGACAAGAGTTCTGAAGGAAACATGTTTCCTGTGGTTCCTTAAAATACCAAGCTCTGGATAAGAGAGGCTGTCTGAAAGGTGGTAGAAGTCACCAATTAGTTTTTGATGGAAAAATGCCTCTGTGAGCATGGTGTGCACAGCTCCCAGCAGATAGGTGACCAAGAAATCTGGACTCCAGAGCAAAGCCACAGTCTCTAAGTACTGTCACATATGGAACAGCAAGGACTCAGGCTTTAGCCCAGCTCCAAAGCTTTCCTATTTTGAGCCTTAAATAAACATTCAAAAGTAGCTTTCAAACCCCCTCATCAGATGCATCCACATATGGACTACCTGTGAACACAGAAACTCTTTAGCTTTCAAGAATTGAGGGCTTGGGTTTTTTTTTTTTAAACAAAAACACTGAAACAAAACCACAGGCACACCACAGAAGGAAGAAAACCAGCATTTTGAGAAGATGTGGATCAACAAAGAGATCCAGAAGGTTCTTCCTGAACAATTCTGTTGAGCAATTTTCACAGAGAAATGACCTCCAGGAAGAAGAGGCACCATGGATGAGTCCTCCATCACAAACTGAGCCCATGTTAGGCAGGCTCCTGCTGTGGGTCTGCCATGAAGCAGCTGCATGAAAAGACACTTCCCATTTCACTTCCACATCTCTGACCACAGCAGCAGCAACAGTAGTCCCTTTTGATTAACTCCTGCACTCATAAGCTACTTCCAGATGCTGCAGCTCCCAAACTCAACTGGATTACAGTTGCATGGATAACAGAAAGTTGTGAGGCTCTCCATGAAGTGCTACAATTTGACAGAAAGCTGTAGCATGAACTGCTCCTTCAGATCACACCAGGCAATCCCCAGAGAAAACCCACATAAAACACCCTAACTGGAGTAATGCATAACATGCATAAAATAATATGGATAATGAATAACAGTTTGGGGCTCACATCTTCATAATACACTAAAATCACCATGCTGCTTCATGCTGGTATTTGTCAGCAATTCCAGCAATGTATAGCCAGAGCCATCTTAGAGCACACTGCAGTTATTAAGCTCATATTCCTCAGACAAAGTCACCCTTCAGCTGACTCAGTTTCAAAACTATCTCTGCACAGGCAGCAAGGTTGGGGTCTTTTTGACGCAACAAGTACATGAGGAGAAAGACACGAGGTAACCAGGGAGATGCTGTGACAATCGGAACAGCATTCCTACCCAGCCACTTCCTCTGCCTGACCCCTGCAAATAACCACCCTCCCCACACCAGGCTGTTTAACTCAGCTGTTTACACACAAGATGCCTCTGCAGTTCAAGTACAGAAGAAATTGTTTTTCCAGTTTAGCTGGCAAGATGCAGAAGACCTTGTCCTGAGAAAACCAATGTTCCAGCCCCTCCCACTGCTCAGGAATTACAGACATCTGAGCAGAAGGTGACACACATAGCTACAACCACCAGAAGCAGCCACTCCTTGGGATCCTTCAGCTTCCTTAGGAAATGTTTACCAAAGCAGTGCCAAAAGCACCTCACTTACTGTAGAAAAGTTACAGGTAGTCCAACCTTTTGTCACCTCCAAGCAGTGAGGAGGGTTGTCCGGGGAATTTCTGTATGACTACTGCCTTTTGAGCAAGCCTAGTCCTCACTCATCCCAAACTTTCCCACTCAGATGCTCTGGATGAGGGTATTTCATCCAGATTCAGATTCCCTAAGACAGGGATTAGACCAATAGGTGCCTGAAGACTACAGGGAACTCCCATCTTTTAGACACAGAGTGGAGGTTGAAATACGTGTACAATCACTCTAAGGTGAGTGTCCCAAGATGCTCACACACCATCTGGAGCACGTCCAACAGCCACTGCAGATGCTGAATTCCTGCAGTGCTCATGTACATGGAATCAGATACTTCTAAACTTCACAGGCCAGTTCCCAGGTCCCACTCACCGTCTGCCCATCCTCTCCTCTCGTTCTCTCTCCTCTCTCCGTCTCAAACGATCCTGGTTTCTCTTCTCTTGCTTTTCTGCCACTGTTTTCTAGGGGAAAAAAATAAATCCACATCATATTTCAGCCATTCAGTAACAGGTCAGATCTGCAGGAAGACCATTCCAATAGCAAGACAAAGAACCATTTCACTGCATTTTATGTGCTAAGTTACGATGTCTATCAAGGGTCTCATTTTTCTCAGTTGAGGCACTGACCTCAATGCACAGTGAGTGAGGCATAGGAATCACAACTCTTACTCAGCTAAAGGTCTCTGTTTGCAAGCAAGGCCAGTACCACAACCCATTACAAATCATTTTGGAAAACTCCAAATGGCTTCAGCTACTCAAGATCTTTTCACTGACAGAACCATGTGAAACTTCAGTTCAAACATTTCATTAAGAGGTTTCAAAGTCAAAAAAAACCCAGAGTAACAAATTTCAGTCATGTTAATGAGAATGACTGTACTGAAGCTCCAAGGAATAAATTACAGCAGTGCTCTGGTTTGACTGATTCTGAGGGTACATATTTAGTCACCCAGAAAAGACAGAACAGAGCCCAAGACAAAGCTAAACAAAGCTCCGTTTGATGTTCTGGGGATTCTGCAATCGGAAATTTCTGAGCTTTTACCAGCCCTCTGCAAAGAATCCTGTATTAATTTAATACAAGTGTTCAAGGTCTTCAGAAGTACAAAGAGAAGGTTTAAAACAGAGAGGATTACCCTCAGCTGATCGAGTTTCTCACGAATCTGAATGAAACCCAAGTGTAATTTGCCTCCGAAGTGGTCAGCAAGACGCCGGTCGTTGTCATGGAGACCCAGATATGCTGAACAGACTTCACACACACGCAGCTTCTGCTGCTGGAAACTGGATGCAGGCATTGAATTTCGGTATTCTTCCTACAGGGAGGCAAAAAAGCCCCACACAAATGTCAGGGAAGCCTTACACAGACACAGCCCTCCAGGGAAACCCCTGCAAAGAACTGCTTTGAAGAATCAGAACCCAGCCTCACACAAAGGAGGTGCCACACAAGTGCTTTGTGGGCACAGCTAACCCAACAGTCTATCCCTGCAAGGGACTGCTGACCAAGTATTTCAGAGGGCAAAGTCCTCCCTGCCTTACTCAGCTCTCTGCACTAGGCAAAAGTTTCTAAAAATCTTTTCATCCACCACACCACACTGCCACCTGATTGCTGGCACACAGGAAGAGAGGCAGAAACCACCCAGCCTAGCCCAGGCTCCTGTGACAACTCACAGGAGAGCAAATACTGTACCTCTGCCTCTTTCTTTTTCGCTCGGACTTTCTCCACTTCCATCAGGATCTTTTGAGACTCATCAACATTTCCTTCAGCTCCCAGCTGTTCAGCTTTAGCTAGGAGTTTTCCAATATCTTCATTCAGCTCGTGTACTTTCTCTGCCTGCAGAGAATAGTTAGTTTTTAGTAAGACAAAAATGTGATAAAGCTTGCACGACAACTTTTTTTTTTTTTTTTAAGAAACACTGTGTAATGAAATCTGTTGTTGGAAGATGACCATGAACCTCCAAGAGTCCCCAACAAAAGGGACTGGTGGACCAATGTCAGTGCAGTCACAGATACATGGTAAAAAGAGAAAAACTGGATGTGGAGAGATCACAATCTGCCAATCATTTCTGGCTTACAGGTCAGCACAGAGGCCACAAAATCAGCTTCAGGAATGTCTTGTGTTGGCCCAATTAGGCGAGTTCCCAAAAAGAAAACTCCATGAGTACTTGTTAAATGAAACAAAAATCATGGGATGATGGATTTACTATTCTGAATTATTATGGTAACGTTTCATAGCACAGGGAAGAAACCAATATGCTTTATTTCCACGCTAAAGCAATCTCTTGGAGTGCATGGTGCTCTTTGTCTCCAGAATGGCCAGAGCAGCTCCTTGAGGAGGATGACTGGAATCCCCAAATCCTCTGTGGAGCCTAACTCCCCAGTATCACTGGTGTCAGAGAAACAGAGCACCAGTGCTCCCACTGAGACTTTCAGAACTAATGTTTAAACGAGAGGCCAATACCTTTGCAGACACTTCAGCACTGATCTCTTCCTGTGTCTCAGCCAGGCGTTTCTTGGCCAGTTCTGTTCTCCTGTCACACTCTGCAATGAAGGATTCCAGGTGATCCATCGCCTGCATGATCAGACAAAATTATGAATGAAGGTGCTCTGTGCCAGATGTAGCTTTGACAGCCAACAGCTGCAATCCTGTATAATGCTCAAACAACCTCAAGAACAGATACTTTGACAAAAAAACCAAACGACACTTTGCAGAACAAGTTACATTTGACCCCTGCCCTGTAAACCTGACCCAGTTCCTTTACTCTGACACATCACAGGATGCTCCTCACATCAACATAGCTTTGCACTGGAACTTCCTTCCTATGCAGGAGCAACAGGCACAAAGACAAAAACACTGGAATAACATGAAAAGGAAAGACAGAACTGTGCTTTCCCTTGATCTGTTCCATCACAGAAAGGTAAAATGAAAGCTAAATCTGACAAGTTAAAATACTGAGCAGGTTTTTAATGTTAAATCTCTTTCTGGGACAGGACATCAGGTTACAAGAACCTGGTACAAGCAGGTGTGGGATCCAAGGAATGCCAGAGAGCCTCCCAAACAGCTGGGTAATGGGGTGGCAAAGGCCATAATTACACTTCTACATTCTCCAGTCAGCAGTCAGGCTGACATTCAGGAAGGGGCTGCACATTCTGGACCGGTAACACATCAAGTAACATGAAGAGCTGAAATGGCCACCAAGTTCTACTGCTCAGCCCAGTAACTTCAAAAACCAGTTTCCTTAAAAGTAACTAGAATTTCTCCATACTTACATCCAGCTCAAAAAACAGGTCTCTCTCTTTACTTGCAATCTCATAATCTGCTCGCAGAGCCAAGTCATGGATCTTTGTACATTCTCCCAGGTCCATTCGCTGTTGAAAGGAAAAGAACCCACATAAGAACCCTTCATTATGGCAGCAAGCAGCAGGTATCTCCTGCCAACTGCATCACATCAAAATAAAGTCTTTTCACAAAATGCAGCTTCCTCTTAACCTCTCAGTACCAGAACCAGCCAGAAGAACTACATACTTGCCAAAATTCATTTTTTAGGTGTTCTGGGAACATCAGAACAGCCCAAATACTTTCAGTCCGGTCCTACTCCTGCTCTAAGTTCCAGGGCAGCCTCAGAAATGGCTGGAGGGAGGTGAGTCTCCTTCAACAGGCACCAACTGCAAATGCCTTCTATCCTGGAGCCACAGCACAGCAAAATATACCTGTACCCTGTTTAAAGCTCATCTGGAAATGCACATCTGTGTCAGGATGAGCCCAAGTAACATACGACATACCAAACTGTAGGATATACAGAGAATGCTTCCTATCAACAACAAAAGGACTTTAAAGGATTAAGGTCTACAGCCAGTAGAAATGCACAACCCCACACTCAGCAATAACAGACTGTTAATTCCAGACCCTTCCCATATCCAGCTGCAGCCTGGAATTTGAAAACCTGCCCAGCAAAGCTAAGTCCTACACATAAGCCCGTTTAATGAGAGACTTAAGGGCATCTCCCTTCCCAGAAAGCTGCCCTTCCCTCCCACTGCACTCCATGCTATTTGAATTTATTTCTTCTCCCACCTAGTAGTTAACAGCCACATGAACACAAGTCAATTATGCTCTCAAAACATGGAAGCTGCAGTTCAACGTTTTAAATTTTTAACAAATAACATTTCTCTTATTCTTTGAGTAGAAAAAGAAAATGGCATTTTGAAAGCCAAAATAATATAAGCCCTAATTGTGAGCCACCATAGGAATGGCAGGGTACATGTCACTGCATGAAGGAACATCCCAAGCCTACCACCTTCTTCTTTCACTGTCACCACCAGCCCCAAGGAGCCCAAACCTCAACAACAGGTGTCAACAACATGCACAACAGGTGTCAACTCAGTGACCTGCAGAGAAAGCTGAACTGGGATAGCACTGAATCCCTGTGGAATATCACAAATTAAAACTGGGGATGCTTACATGAAACAATCAGTGCTTAGAATGAAGCACAGCAACTATTACTGTGCTTATTACTGGATTTCCTCTTCTAGAAGAAGAAAAAAATCCACATGACTTGCCACCATTTAGCCTTCCTTATTTTACTCAGATTTCCTCTTCTAGAAGAAGAAAAAAATCCACATGACTTGCCACGCATCCAGAATACTCTTGCTGAGCTCTCTAATGATAGAAATTTAATGCCTACAAAAAAAGCATGCTGGTACTTTTAGAGCTTGATCATGTTCAACTTCAGGCAAGCCACTTCAAAGAATGCTACAGAGTTACTATTATTTTATCACAAAAATAACTTTCTATGATGTGACACATCTTTCATTCTTTTGGTCATTCTACTGAGATCATTTTATAAATATTCTTATCTGAGCTCTTCCTGCAAGCTGAGCCACTAACCCCACTTCAGAGAAGGGGCTCTGACTACTTCAGAGCAGCCAACAATGCTTGTTCTGAAGCTCCCTATTCCTCTCCCTGCTTGTTAGCAGGCAACAAATCCCTTAACATCTTCCTCAGGGAAGAACATTCAGTTCTCACCAGTTTATAAACCTCAAATCTTCCTCCATGTTGTTTAAGATGTTCTAGTGCAAGAAGATTTCCACAGGTTTTGCTCACTCAGGTAAGACCAGCAGCCCCTCAAAGTCTCCTCTCATCCCAAGGAGAGAGAGAGAGAGATTCCCTTTCCACAGAGACCATGACCCGCTCCAGTCAACACTGGCTGGTTTATAACACAGCTATGTGAGACAGGCAACCAGCAGAGCCTGAGCAAAGATTTAATCATTCCCCATACATACAAAGAGACTGAATACATTTAGATGTCATTGACAATTAGTCCTGCTCACATTTGCTGAGAAATCCACATTTTGAGGTACCTCTTATGATCTCCTGAACTGGCAACTCACCACAAAATGAAATTTCCACAAAGAAGACACTTTAACAGTGATCAGAGATGCAGTTTCATCAAAGTGAAAAAGGAAAGCAAAGACCACCCTCTCAACCCACAAGAAAACAATTCTAGAACCTACAGATTTTAATTCATATTTCCCAGTAGGGAACACAATTCCCTGGATGTAATTTCCAAGGTTTGTTCAACCTGGGCAGCTTTGAGGCTCATCTGTCCACCTCTTAGTAGAGCTGAAATTCAGGAGAATTGCCAGCTGATGCCATCTCTCAATGTGCTACAATACTTTCACTGACAGAAATATGTTTAGCACGAACAGAGAGAACCCAGCACACACCACAAACAATGTGGATGACAAGGGCCCTGGGAACAGCCCTAAACCAACTCCTGTTCTCCCAGAATGTTCCTCCTTACCCACAGAGACCAAAGAAAACCACCAAAGGTTATTTAGTGGTTAAGTTCAGACAAGTCTCTGGGGCCAAAAAGAGAATAATCACAGGAACAAACCAACTTAAAATGACAACTCTTACGACAAAGAACACTGGTGCACCTTAACAAAGCAAAGATCAAAAGGCCTTCTACAGCTCTTAGGAATACTCTAGAACTTTGCTTACAGTCTGGACTCCTTTTCTTATCTGCTTCTGAAGGTCAGTGAGTGGGACCCATCATATTTCACTGAGCACAGCTCCCCAAGGGATCAGCTTTCTGCTTGCCTTCAATCAGCTTCCCACTGAGGAGTATCTGCACACATGAAGGATGCAGCAGTAACAATGCCTTAGGGGAGGACACAGCAGAGCAAGCATCAGAAGGCTTGGAGCATCTGTTGGAAGTTTCCAAGAGGTCCAAGGTCCTGATTTCTGCAGTAATACACCCAGAGGTGGCTTATACCCCAGCCAGCTGAGACAGATTCACCCATAGAGCTCTTCCTTAGCAGAGCACAGTAAAGCACCAGTGAAGCTGCCTCAGATCACGAGGAAGCACTGCACGTTCCAGCTAAGTTTCATTCTGTACTGGCAGCAGTGACAGCTGAAATGCTCTTCCTGTTCTGGACATCACATGTTCTTTCAACACAGATCTGCAGCACCAGTACTTGCCCTGGCCCCCAGGAACCCGATGACAGAGGTGTAGAACTCCACACCCACTTCAAGGCCACCGCTAAATCATGTGAGCCACAAGATCACTTAAGCAGGAGCAGTCTTTCTTCCTGCTCCTGCAGTTTCTGAGCACAAACTCCACAGCAAGAGGGAAAGGACAACTCAATCAAGACAAGTAACAACAGAAGCAGAAGAAACAAACTCTTCAAGGTGCTTCTCTGCCCCAGGAGACTCACAGGCCATCTGAAACACTTCAGACTTCCTTCATGCTTCGGCACCACCTAGCACACATCACTTGTGTTTAACTACTCCTTCAACTCACCATCTACTTTCTTTCTGAAAACCTGCCAGCAGAGGTAGAAGGCAGCCTTCATGTTCAAAACACCCCTTGGGCCCCAAAAAACTGCTGTAGAATCTCGTGCCAAAAAACATACCCTGACCACAGGGACCTATACAAAGGATTGAAGTTTAAAATTCTGAAATGGAGGTGAAATCATATGAAGGCTGATGGAGCAATCACTGAAAAATACATCTGAGCTTCAAATGAATTAAAAAAAATACAGGTACAGAGATTGATATTCAGCTTTTCCAATCTTATTCTGCAAAGGTAGCCACTGAGAAGGTCAAGTCTGAGTGCTCAGAGCAGAGGTGGCTTTTGCTACAGCTCTTCCTACCAGTGCTGCCACACTCCTGCTATGGCAGTGACACAAGCAGGGCCAGCAGTGCCAGCCCTCCTTTTGCTGGAGACCCACTGGGTCCAGCCAGCTCCCTAATGAGCAGCAGCAAGGGCTAGAAATAACCACAGCATCTTTCAATAACCTGGTTAAGTGGACAGACACTGTGAATTGTCACAGTATTTCATGCAAACAGTGAGGGCAGAGATGGATTTCAAACATCCATATTCACCTCCATCCTGCCTCTGTTGCACAGCAATGGTGACAAAAGACACAGTTTTCTTTCCAAAGTCGGGCTACAGCTTTCATCTGGGAGCCTCAAATGAACACTTACTTCACAAGAGCTCACTGCTAAAAGCCTGCATCACCTTCTGCTCTCAAAGGCAGCACGTGAGCCAAACCTTTGAATGCTGGCCAGCTCTGTTCCCACAGGGAACAGCAAATGAGCCGAGACAACTGTCTGAAACCAGTCGGGCAGAGTGACACAAACAACCAAGCAGCTCAAACAACCAACACTCAGCCAGAGATGTGATCTGCCAACATCACCCCAATAACGACAGAAAAGCTGCTCTTCCATCAAGGCTGGGCAGAGGAGACTGAAAATCTCCAAGAATTAGTGCATCTGCTAAGAAAACACTTGCTAACCTGAAGATGCAGCAGTGTACCAGGGCAGCAGCCTAGCTACAGGCTTGGAACCACCACAGGATAAGCTGTAAGCTCTGACCATCTTAATTTGCTAAAACAGAAATAATTTTGCAATTTCCCATGGGATTATGAAAGAAAAAGCATTTCAGGTGAATTTTGAGAGCTTCTGGTTTGGTATTTTTTTTGTTTTGAGAAGTGAGAGCAGTTCCTTACACAGGTCACAGGAAGTGGAATTAGGATTGTGACTGCTCCCTGAGTACAGAAAGCCTGATCTCTCCTAGAAGTCACACACCCTGCACTAGCAAGAGCTGTACCAACATCCTCCTCACCAGAATCCCTTATTCCAGAGGACATACTTACTGTTCCAGCCAGGATATCATGGGGACAGCAATCCAGAAGGTGGCTCTTGCACACACGGTCGTCTGTAAACTTCACCCTTTGTCTGGTTTCATCTCCTGAAATTCATGTGTGGTTTAAATAAGGAGACATTAGAACACCAAGAAAACTCAGGTGTCGGCATGAACATTGCACCTCAATATGCAGATTAAAATACTTGGTGCTCCTGCTCCCCAAAATTACTCAAAAAAAAAAAAAGAAATATCTTAGAGGATAACAGGATATTCTGGAACACTTATAATTTGCAACAAACACTATTTTAGCATTTATTCATCCAGGACACCATGTTAAACACAGTGCTGGTGAGCCAAGCAATGTCCAAGGCCTGTCATCCACATAAAGAAGCAGCACAGCCAGAAGAGGAAAGGAGACAGACAGGCTGGCTCCCAGCCAAAACTTGTTATTTTTTCGACCCTTTTCTTTTTTTACTTTGAAGTAGGGGCAGGGAGATACCAAACCCCACACTATCAGATCACAAAACAGGGCTGTGCTTGGCAAAATTTATAGGCAACTGCTCTTTGCTCAGGTGATAATTGAGCCATCAGTCTGTTTGGTTTGGAACCCAACCATGCAGGGTGTGCTCTCCCAGGCCCTGCAAGGAAGGAGCTGGCAGGTCCTGGCCTGGAACACACCACGTGCTTCCCACCCACAGCCCACCCTCAGAGGACATTTTACACTCAGGAGCCACTTAAAACGAGACAATATCAGAAAAGCAAAGAAATAAATAATAAAAAAAGAAACAAAGTTAGTCAATACACACTGCGAGCTCCAACACATACTATACCCATCTGCATTCTTCAAGACCTCAGCTGCAGAATTTTATGCCCATTGTTGAAAAGTTTTAAAGGAAAAGCTTTCTTGCCCACACCTGCAGTAAGGAAGTCAGGGGAATGATACATAAAAGTAAAGGCAAAGTGGTAATGGTATGTGACAATTTTAAAGCTCATCTGTGCATATGACACAGGTATGTGTAATACTAAAGTATGAATATAGTTTAGGATTCACAAGCATCCAGGAATAATGTTGTGTCTACTGATTTTTTTTTTTAATTTTTTTTTTCTTTCTAAGCTACACTTTTAAAGTTACTTGTGAAAAAAAGCAAACACTTTTTTTTTTGTTATAACAGCTTTAAAAATTGGTTGTGACTCACGGCTCGATGAACATGAGGCTTTTCTGCAACTCCCTTGCAGATTGATGTAGGCAGGCAAAGATACACTGAACCTTTATAAATAAAATAGAGGGGCCACAATTGTTCAGTTTGTATGAAATAAAAATATGGGAAGCAATTCAATAGCAACTCAATACACAGAGAAAGAAAAGCACTTATTCACTTACGAAACAAAGTGCAAAGTGCCTGGACAGCCCTGTTAACGTGCCAAAGGGAATTTAAGTACCCAGCGAGTCGCAGAAGGGAGACACAAACCGCAGCGGGACCGTATTTTGCACGGGCTGTCACATTTCTCGTCTCGGACAGCACCCGGCGCGGCCGGCGCTGCAGGCACACCTACCTACGCGCCTCTGGACGTGCGGGCACGGAGCCGGCCCTAAGCCTGTCCGCGGCAGCCGGGGCCCGGAG